CTTCCCAAATAGTTTCATGAATTTTATGTTTGGTACATTGGCCAAAGCGAGTGTTTCGCTCTTACTTAATTGCCAACAAGCTTAATCGTTAAATTTTAATAATGTAAATGTCGCCCCAAATCGCCAACCACTCCCCTCCTCCAACTTTTTAACTTTTCGGGGTGCGTGCGTTGGCCTAAAAACAGAAAAAAAGCAGCTGAAAAGCAAAAAGGCAGCCAACAGCTGGCTCTTTGACCTTGAAATTCGTAACTTGATATAACGCAAAATGCCCCAAAAAGTATGCGATGGTTTTTTGTTGTTCTTTGCTTAGGCTACGACGCCATTTCGGGCCAAAAATTTAAGAGGATGGGGGATGCCGGGGGAATTTTGTATAATAAAACGCAATTGTAGCAAGTGCGTGAGGGAAGGGGGGTGGTGGGTGGTTTGTTGTGGAAGCCGCCCGAAAGGAAATGAAATATTAATAACAATGAAAGCAACAAGAGCAGAGGAAATCAAGATACCACAAGGCCCATCCCCACGCCCTCAAGACTTGCCATAAAAATAACTGAAAGCGGATATATCGCTGGTGGTGGTGGTGGTGGTTAGTATTACTTACTGGGCTAGGGAACCTGGAACCGGGAACCGATGAGGAACAGGGGTACGCGGGGGAAGCCCACTTGGCTTCGACCTTGAGCACTTGGACTGCGGTCGTAATTGGCCCCTTAAATAGTCGCCGGCATGGAGTGTCCCGAGGATAATTAGTGACTGGACGTATGTATTTAAAGACAAAGACACTTGCCGAGCCCCACACACACGGCAAAAACGATTCCGATGGGAGGTGGTATGATTAATGAGGTCCAGTGACACTACTTTTTATGATTAAGAAGACCTAACGTATCGCTTCAAACCATTTATTATTCTTTCACTATCTACTGACACCTTTCAAACGGGAAACGATTTGGTTAATTTCTAAAAACTGTTTTTAGTATTTAGAAATCAAAACATTTAAGGATCAATGAGATATTTTCATTATCAAGTATAATTTTTGCTATGTTTATAATAAATAATGTACATTTGGCATTAAGAAATGTTATTTCTTGCACAATTTCAATTGAAATGATCATCATATCCTATCAATCTTTGTTTCAGTGAAGTGAAACCTGTTCTTTTGTTATTAGAGTTATATACAATTTTTATAGCATTTTTTTTTGCTGTGTAGCTGGCGACGCTTGTTTTCAAGCACCAGACAAGTGGGTCACAATATTTATTCCCCAAAAGCTGTCTGACTGCTGCTAAATGCATCGAAGTTGTGCCAAGGATTGGGGGCATGGTGGGGTGGCAGAAGTTGGACTGCGGCAACTTCAGCGCTTTAATCTGGGGAATTAGTGGTGGCGCACAGCTCCTCCAGGGACACTCGGGGCTGCATCTTCTCAGTTCTGAGTCCTTAATTAATAATATGTCCGGGCAGGGAGGAGCACGAGGAGAAAGGATCCAAGAGCCACGAGGCAGCTTGAACTTCTCGGGCTTCCTGTTCCTGCAACACCGCGAACGGACATCAGATGACAGCGGACAGCGACGCATGCCACTTGCAACTTCCGTTTCCGGCCGGCGGCGTCAGCGAATACCACCTGCAAAAATGGTAAAGTGCAGGGAGCAAAACGAAAAAAATCGATGCGAAAACGATCCGAAAGTGCCATAGACTTTGGTTACGGCGCTACGGTTCCATGTCCGTCGGGGTCCTGACATTTTCGGGCCTGTTGGCTGTTGAAATTTATTAGGATTACGCCGCAAAACAGGCCCGAAAACAAGCAAGGACATGGCAAACAGTAACCAACTGCCAAGAAAACAAGTGATACAAGGCACAAAGCGAAACGAACCCAACCGTACTAAACCAAACCGAACAAAAAAAACCCCACCAAAAGTCAGGTGACTCCCGCGGGAGGGGTGGAAATTAATCCAATACTCGTTCATTAACCCTAGAATGTCAATGGTTGCGAAGTTGTTACTTTCAGTTAACCAAAGCTCGGATTTAATTGTTTTGTTTAGGGGGTGTTGAAGCTATGCTATACAGGTGTGTTTCATTCGACTGTGGGTTTTTTGGGAAGTCGGATCTTAAACTAATGAACAAAAAGTTTTCGTTCCTAATGAGTTATTTCGATGTCAGGATCATTTTTACCATTGCATAATGTTAATGTTTTCTCTCTTCTTCGAAGACTCTCAGAAATAAGCAAAGCGAATTTCATTAAAACTTGAATCTTTTCTTATTAATTTGTATGTCAGTGTGTCTTAAGAAGCATTTGCACACCATATTTTCAAAGGTAACCTTTCGAAACTTGGGTGTGGAAGGAAACAACTTTTCTGGGGTTAAATGCTGGCGCTGCATTTCCAATTCCTTAGCCCATTTGGCTTACCGTCTTCGTTCGCTTTCCCTGGACTCCTCCTTGAAGTCATTTCTTATAATTAATAAAACGCAATTTATTGCGCCGCCAAATGCCAAACGGAAATGAGCAGCGTGGAGAAGAGGTGTTTCTTCTTGAGTGCTGTTATAATTAAAAAGCCCCAGAAATTTAATAAATTTATAATGAGCGTAATTAGCGGAGGAAGCGGTGTTGAAGAGAAGGCAATCCGAGCGGCGGTAAAATAAATGTGGCAATAAAATCAATTGCGTCATACCGCCACAGGGATATTCATTCAAAATTTGGTTCCTTTTTTTCGTAATATTTTTTAATGTATATATATATATAGCTGTTGTAAAAAAAGAAAGCGAGTGGACTGAGTTTAGCGGTCGGTGGTTGTAAGTGAGCTGCGCACGCGATGCACCTGCAGCTGTCTCTTTCCCACGTGGGGTCCTCAGCTAAGTATCCCTAAGTTTGTTTTTCCCCTTGTATTTATTACATTTCAATATTTTTGGCATGCTTCCGTATTTCGTCGCAGTCGGAGCTCCCCGCTCCGCACTCTTGGCTTCTTGTGTCGTGTCGCTAACTTTTTAAAAGCGACAGCAGACTAAAAGCAGTGGGACAATGTATGGGCTTACACAAGGAGAAAAAGGTGTGAGTATCGATTGAAGATATCACGATTGATTTATAGACTTTTCAGAATGATTTATTTCCACCAACAAGGATCAATAATGTATTGTATACTTTGATATCATCATTATATCATGATATAATAATAATTTTTTCTAAAACATTAATGAAATAATATTATTAGGATTAGGATTATTAAATAAAAGCAGTGGGACAATGTATGGGCCTACTCACGAAGAAACAGGGGTGAATATCGATTCATGATTTCCTGATTGATTTATAGACTTTTTAGAGCGATATCCTGATTGATGTAGACCATTACCAAGTCTCAGAAAGGAAATCATTTTCCTTTATGGGATTATATATTCGGAATACTAAAATATATTGATAGGATTTATCTTATTCTTATTTTTATGGTCTTTATTTAGTTAGAATAAACCCCACAGTGCGTATGCTTAATTATTTTTTGCACATTACGTATACGTTATTGCTTGCAGTGTTTTGGGGGGTCTGTAGAGGGGGCCTTTTCCAAGACCTGCAACCGGCGCCGTCGTGTATGCAACGCCGTTTCGTGTTAAGTTATAATTAAATGAAATCCAGCGCGGAATTCAAATTCAAATTTCGAATTTCGGCTGGCTGTTGTTTTTGTTTTGGTTTCTTTTTATCTCCTTTCGCCCTATGGCACTGGAAATGTGGGACTTTAGTTGGATTAAACTGGGCGTGGTTCCCCCGGTGGCAAGTTGCTTCACTTTGCTTCCCTCCACTCCACTCCACTCCATCCCACTCCCGATTCCTCAGCACTTTTCTTCCTGTCGCGGTTGTTACGTGTCTGCCTTGTTTTTTGAAGGCTTTGAAGGGGTCTAGAGAGCGTGGGGTCGAGAGCCAGGGCTTTCGTCTCGAGCAATAGACGGGCCGAAATTTAAAGAAATTCGCTGGAAAAGTTTTCGCCACTTTGCCAACTTGGCTCCAAAGCGACCGCAGCCAAAACAGAATTGCCTCGTTAAGCGGGTATTCAGTTCCACATATAGAACATGTGTATCAAAATGCCACGGAAACTAATCAATATTTTAAAAAGGGTTTTACGCTGGTTAAATGTGGCGGCTTGCATTGCAATGTAGGGTTTGTGTGTTAAGTGATACGCGTATTTAGTCTAGGGATCAATGGACTTTTATAGAACTTGGTAACTTTTTTGTTAGTTCTGAACTAAGTGAAGAAAGATGACTATAATTGCAGTTCAGTTAGGTACTGTTCCCATAGCTGGCCAAGTTCTAGGCTTCTTAGGATATGGTTTTACTAAAAAAACGAACTTGTCATGTTGACTCGGGTTTGTCTAGAGGGAGAAGTTGGATGGATGTAGTAATTTATATTTTCATTTCCGCAAACTTATCCATAGCCAATCTATATCCGGCCGCATTTGCATTCCTCGCATTTCCCGACGGCATCAGACGCTTTATGCCTGGTTTTAGCGACCGGCGGCGTCTGAGTCTTGACACCACACCTCCCCATGCGATGCCCCCGATGTTCCACACATGCCCCGAAATCCCCGTTTTACCCAATTCTGTTGCAAACCTAACCAAATTCCCCCTACCCTTGGCTGTCGTCGCTTTGGCTGGCAGCAATCAGCTGTTCGGCTCCGCTTCGCCAGCTGTCGGCTGCGGTGGCGCCACTGCGCCTGCGCTCCTGGAAGTCCGGCGGCTCTGTCACATGTTTTTCGAACATGCTCGAGCACGAACGGACGCGAACGAACACGAACGGACACGAACGCCGCTTCCAGTGTGCCAAAAAAGAGCAAAAGCAAGAGGAAGACGCAGCCGAAAACGAGCCGATTGCTCAGTGTGTTAGTGTGTTTTCCGTGGAAAAAGATGTGGTTCTTGGTGGGTGGTGAGTGGTGTGTGGAGGGGGGGTTAGGACTGCTAACGGTAACGGGCGCCTAGCGGTAACGGTAACGGGAATGACAAGCGCAAGAGCAGAGAAGCCAGAAGCCAGCGTCGCCTCGTCGGAGATTCAGAAACAGAATCAGAAACAGAAACAGAAGTCAAGACAAGACCCAGAGTCCATAGCGAACAGCAGTTCGATAGGAGAGTTGCGATAAACTCAAGTTGCGATTAAATCGAAGCGGAAAAGCCACGAAAATTTACAGCACTGCACTGCACTGCAAATGCGGAATGCCCACTAGATAAACGCTAAATTTAAAATTTCAAATTCTAAATGCTAAGTGCCAGCGCCCGAACCAGCGGCAATCAATCAATTAGGCCCAAAGGGCTGGTGCGCCCCAGTAGCAACAAATACGGCCGGAGAGAGCAGCCGGATACCAATCGACAGCAGAGACAGAAGTTGTGACAGAGAGAAAAACAGAGACCCAGCAGCAGAGACATTGAGAGAAAGAGCGAGAGCATTGTTGGCAGTGACAGCAGTTAAAAATCAATATCCGTCTAAAGTTTATTTCGGTTTCGGTACGGACAACTCAGAAACTTCAAGTTTTTCTAATCGAAATTCCCCTAGAAATTAATAGGCCAAAATTATCCTACGTAGCTTAACTCGATAAAAACTAAAATCCATGCTTTTTGTCAATCGCGTCCGCTTTGTGCTACAAATTTAACATTTAAACGTTTTTTGCGAGTGTAATCGTGTGTCCATTTTATGCTAAACTTGAACATAGAGTTTAAAGAAGTAACCAAAGTTTAAGAACAACTTGCTCCATCCAATGCCATGTGTGTTTTAATAACGTTAGAACGGCTCCGGTCCAAATAATTAGTGACAAATAACCAGTGCAATCAGCCAAGTAAATCCAAGTTTGGCCAAAAAGGTGAGTAGTGCTCTCGATGAAAGTGATGAATGAGTGTGTCGTAGGTCAGGGCACTTTGGTGCTTCATGATCAGATGGACGGCTGCCTGGGGGCGGGGATTAGGCCTTGCATGTTGCATCTGCATCTGCATCGGAATCTCCGTTGCCATCTCCATCTGCATCCCAGACCGTGGATTTGCCGCACAGCAGGAGCCAACGCCACCAAGCTGTTCGAAATCCAACGCTTGGCTGCCTCTGCGCTCAGCTGAGCGTTACACAAGCACACACAAGCGCAGTCCGCATCAAGAGTCAGCTGTTCGTATACACGATTCTGTGTCCCCCCCCCCCCCATCTACCACCCACCCACCATCCATCCTCCAAATTCTCGGGGACCCGACAGCCCAGCCGGCAAACCGACATTCGCGACGAAGGCTAAATCGATATCCCACTCTGCCGCTGGCAGCTGTTCGCAGCTAGTTTGGCTGGAAAATCAGATGGTTGGTCTAGGAGGCCTACCCGTTCGCTTCCAGCCATCTTTGCCAGGCCAAAACGGATCATTGAAAGATATAATAGGGTGCCTTCTTCTATTCACCACTTATACATTAAGAAACCAATGTATTTGTATTTCCCGAAACCGCAAATTTAGGGAAGATGGTCTCATATACTGCTTTTCACAATAATATTGATTCAAAGTTTTATTTTTTAAGTTTAAAGAATCTACTTTATGTGTACTTTTTTTGGTTTAATATGTATACCTTATAAATTTTTTATATGATCCATGATTTGGTATCCTTAGGCATTAGACGGTATTACCCCTAAGTGATCCTCACTTTCATTTTCCCGGACCGGACTGGAAATTGCGTAATTTCATTAGCGTTAAGCCGACTTCCAGGCGTGCGCCGCTTTCCCGCCGCTCCCAATCGGCGAGCCATTCAGTCTGGGTTGCTATTCCGATTTCCGATTCCTATTTCGATTCCGAATCCGAATCCGCCGCCCCGGTCTTTGTCACTTTCAGTCGGTGTTCTCCGAGTGTCTTGTGCAGTTGATTAGCCGCTAAAAGCCGGCGCCAACAGCTGACCACGTGTGAGGAGACCAGAGTAAGTGCGTCCGGGCAGGATCCTTCTGCGCGCGGCGATGTGGGGAGGAGGTCAGCTCTTAAAGTTGCGAAAAATCGACAATGACTGACGAAATGGGGAAAGTAGGAGCCGGGTAGGGGGGCAGGGCCATAACGCGATGCCGGTGCCATAAAGTGCCGGTACGGAGAAACGAAGCGAGCCCCATAACCGCTAACTGGAAGCGGCGAGCCAGCGAATCCGAATCCGAGTTCCCAGTCCCGAGTCCGAGTCCGGCGAATTGCCGAGTCATCCTTTGGACGCGACGAACCCACAAGCCGGCCCCCAACGAAGGGCACCCAAGTTGCGAATACCCTTGCAGAACAAGGAATTTTGTTAAATACATAGTTGTCGGTGCTTGCAAAAGGTGATTAAAACTGAAGTAGAATTAAGAAATAGCAATGGATAGTTCAATAGAAATCACAAAGGAGTCGCAAAGAAAGCATCAATAAATTCTACTCTAACGGTCCAAAGATCTTTCTTCCGAAAAACGGTTACTGCACACCTTTAGACATATTTTTGGGTGATTTTTGTGCATTTCCCCTGATGAAGGTAGATTTTCCAAGGTATTTTGTTGTTTCTTATTTCAAAATTAAAAGCTTGAGCTTTAGGAAGGTATAAAAATAACCGTATAAATATAGGATTCCTTGGAGTGTCATACTCCAATAGCTCAAAATATAGTGACTAATTGATACATTTCACTTAAAAAGGCACGAAAATTTCCAATCAAAATGTTATAAATTTTGAGACTTACATTTTTTTTGGCTTGTTGATTGAAGTTAGTACTAGGTTTTAGGAAAAAAAATTTACAAAATCAATCATGTTTTTTTTTTTTGAAAATGTAGAGCATATGGAAAACAAAGAAAAGCGTTTTTTTTCAATTGTTATTTTAATTCAATGTTATTTAAATAATTGGAAAATTATCATTATTTGATTCATTATTTGTTTGTCCTGGGGCTAAATAAAGGAATACTGTATGTGTCGGCAGAGAAAGGTCATAGAGATAGGATTCAGATAGAACACCCCTGAAAGACGCCCGTTTGGTAAGGGTATTTGAGCAGGCACACGGCCAAAGGACTCTAGACGAGCCCACAGCTGAGCGGGAAAAAGAGAGGGAGAGAGACGGCGCTACTGGGGGCGACAGAGAGCGAGCGAGCGAGCCTGCGCCCAGCTGGAAGTTCCAACCACGGCGGCAAGCGCAACTGGAGTTGCCGACAACTGCACAGCCGACAGCGAAAAACCGACAGCCGACAACCGACAACCGAGAACCGAGTGGCTTTGGCGTCGCTGCCCCACTGGCTTCTTCGCTTTTCGCCCTGCCTTTCGCTTCGTGGTGCGCGATGGCTCGATTCAAGAATCAGTCGTCGTCGAGCTTTCAAACCGTTTGCAGCGAGCGCCAGAGCAGCACCGCCAGGGATTCCTGTCCAGTCCAGTCGAGCCAGAAACTCCACTCCACTCCAGCCACAGCAAAGGAAAAGCAGGCAGCCGCAGCAGCAGCAGCAGCAGCAGCAGCAGCAGAAGCAGCAGCAGCAGCAGCAAAGCAAAGCAAAAGCAGCGAGCAGAAAGCAGAGAGAGAGGGACAGAGACAGAGGGGAGAAGAGCCAAAGTAAATTGGCCAGAAAGAAGTTCTTTCTTTCGCCTAATTCTATTTTTTTTCGGTGTGTGAATGGTACTGGTAGTGTTCTCGTGCCCCATTGATTGGGAACCTTAGTATTTTTTTTCCAAGTGCCCCTTTTTTTCTGTGGCTTCTTGCGGTGGTGATGCGGTGATATCATATAACACACAGCACGTGCTGAGTGGGTTACCCACTTGATTCCGCCGGCTTCCACTTCCTTGCCACTGCGGCCGGAGTTGCATCGATTATTCCGGTCCCGGCTCTGTCCAAAGCAGCGTGATGATCAAAGGAACGGAAAGGAACTGCTCCCGAAATAGCCGTCTCATCCATCATTTGTTTCCGCACTCAGCCGCCGGGCACCGGGAATCGAGGACGAACCTCACCCTACATATATGTGTGTGAAATGCCGGCAACTCCAAGAACAAGAGCTCCACGAAAAAAAAGAAAAAAAAAATTGAAAAATAACCGAAGAGTATCCGATGAATCATCAGCAGGCCGTGGATACGGCACTTCGTGCAACTCCGGCGCAGTGGAGCGCATCGCTTTTGGCCACGGGCACGCGACCAAACTGCAGTTTCTAGGGGGAGTCGAGTTTTCCAGGGGGGAGGAGCTGAAGGATTACGGCAGCAGGGCGACACCAGAAAGGAGTTCGTGCTGGCTGCTTTTTATAGTTTTACAGTTGCGCCCCTGCAGCCTGAAACGGCCAAAATAGAAAAGGGGGTGAATGTGAATCCGGCCCGGCGGACGACGGACCACGGGGTGGTCTGATGACGTCGCCTTCAACGTCGTGGTTTCCATCGCCATCGTTGCCATGGAGCGATGACGACATCTTTGCCAAAGGAGCGTGTGGATGGATGTCCCTTGCCTTTACTGGCACTGCTGTTTTTTTTTTTTTGTTGCTTTTTCCACACCCCCAGGTCACATAGAGGGTGCATCAGTTTAAAGACCTTGATCTCTGGCTCTATAAGGGACCCGACCATCAAATTTGGTATATGCGTTTATTGGGGGTCCATTTAACTGCAGTCGAACGTTGGTAACTAAATTCTTAAAAAATAAAAAAAAAACTCTTACGTATTTTCCTGAAGATAAAACCATAAATATCAATGATGGTGCTGTTAGCTTTTTTCACACCCCCAGTTCACATAGAGGGTGCATCAGTTTGAAGGCCTTGATCTCTGGTTCCATAAGGGGACCGTACACCAAATTTGGTATATGGGGTAAATGGACCCCCAACCAATTGCAGTCGAACGTTGGTAACTAAATTTAAAAAAAATGTACAAAATTATTATATTTCGTCTTCAAGATATAACCATAAATATCAATATTGGTGTCCTTATTTTTTTTATGTTTATTGCTTTGTTGGTTCCCTTTGTGGCAGTGACCAAACTTACAGTACTTGAAAGCCACCTTGTTTTTGCGGCATATGAGTCGTTCGTGGTTGTTGTTGGTCTATATGTGCAAGGCGGCCAAAGTTCAATGGATTTTATGTGCGGCAGCTCCTGCCTTCCTGTCCGCCGCCTTCCTCCTTCTCCTCCTGTCTGTGGGCCGTCTTTTTATAGCCACTCCTCCGGCTGTTTTCCTCGGTTTTCCTCGCCCGGATGACGGCTGTCTGGCAGTTCCACTGGGAAACTAAGGGGGAGAACTTCGGACGGAGAGGCCTCCCGCTCCCAGTCATATTGGGCTTAAAAAAAGAGTTGGGGCGCCGATAGTCCTTATAAATAGTACAGTGTGAATGGACGAATGGGAGGGTATGGTATATATTTCCATGGCTAACTCTTCCATTTCTTTTCTTCCTTCCAGATCCGACGATTGACGAAAAGGGTCGAGCAGCAAACGCGGAGAAAGTAAAATAAAGAAAGCAAAACCCAAAGAGAATCGAGAGTAAAAAAAAAAACTAAAAAGAACACTTAAGAAGAAAACAAAAATCGAATTTCCATGTTTAAATCGCAAAACCAAAATTATCGATTAACAACCAATTAAAAGGAAAACCAAAGAGACAAAAACCAAAAGTAAAGTAAATTGCTACCAGTAAACGCTAGTCCAAATCTTCACTATAAATATATATATATATGTATACAATATATATTTAATTAAAAATACTTCAAGAAGAACACGCCAATTGCCGCAAAACTTACTCCAAGCCGAAAACCAAAACCAAAACCAAAGATTTCCATTAAACAAACGCAAAATACCAAATACCAAACACAGCTTCAAAGTGTGCACAATAAAACAAAAAAAAAAAGTTAATAACAAAAACCAAAGAAAGACAACCAAAAAATCCAATATTATTAAATAAAAACGAAAGACAATTAAGCAAAGTCGAAGAAGAAAAAGAAGTACCAAAGAAAACTGCGCCAAAGTCACGGCCAGCAAACAAAAAGTACAACAAACAAACAAAACAGCAAGACATACAAATAATACCAACAAAAGCAGCAACAGCAGCTGTGAAGTGAAGCGTCACCACTGGCCACGCCCACTCCCCGCGGCCCAGCCAACCGCCCCCCGTTTTCGCAATCTTTTGGATTGGCAGCGCATCGTTTCCAAGAAATCTTGCGTGTGCCGAGAAAAATTGAAACACTAGAAATCAGTGTCGGTGAAAGACTCCCTTACCAAAGAAAGCCCATCTTTTTTTTCGAGTGTATACGAATCAGTTCCCTTTTTTTTTCTGTGTGACCCAATCGAAAGGCAACAGCAACAACAAGAACAACAACTGCAACAACTGTGATGGGAGATCAGCCAAAGGCAACGACTAACGCAACCGGAGAAGCCGAAGGCGACGCCGTGATGGCCTCCAATCGCCAGGATTCGCTGCCCAACGGAGCAGCAGGAGCAGGTGCAGGAGCTGGAGAAGGAGTTGGAGTTGGAGTTGGAGTGGGAGCAGCAGCTGGGGCAGGAGATGGAGCAGGAACAGGAGCAGGAGCAGGAGACGGTGGTCCACCACCACCACCACTGATGACGGACCCAGAGGATCACTCCGTTGGTCAGGGCATCGTGGGTCCGCCCAGTCCGCTCACCGGCTGCTACCTGCTCATCGTCCTGGGCGAGCCGCACTCCGAGGAGCACAAGGACAACATCTTGCAGCATCTGCTCAAGGGTGAGTTCTAGTTTTATCCACCACTATTCTTTAGAAACCGTAGACAGAGAAAATTCGAACGTTCTAATCTGAGTTCAAAATGTTCTTAAAAATATAACAACATATTTGAAGATGAAAATGTTTTCATTGTGCTTAAATCAAGATTAATTGACGGTATATCTCAACAACTTAACTATTAGTCCAGTCAGTAGTGTATACTTATTGAAAAGTTGTTAAATAAACTCCATTTAACTTTTCTCTTCTAATGTACTTACACGGTATTTAAGAACGAATGTTCTCAAATCAAGAACAATGTACTTGAATATTTCTCTCTGTGTAAGCAGAGAATCGGACTATGGGTCCTTAAGTCGATAAATCCGCTAAGAATCATATCGATTAGTTTTGGAAAACAACATCTATATTAGTACAGGTAGAATGATAATTGAAATTTCTTCTTTAACGTACCATCCAGATATAATATCTAATTCGTTACCTTATTCGTAAAAAAAAAGTTTAAGTAAGCACATTGCTTATTTTTGTTAGACCTTCCTAAAATATTTTACAAAAATTGGTTCGCTTAGAGAAACATTTAATTTGGGAGTAAGTACTATTATCGTATAAGCAAAAGTTTTAGACTATAATAACTAATTAGAGATTTTTTAAATGGATGATATTCTAGAAATTCTAGATTTATCTGATATTCAGAAGATGTTATTGAGTTTCTTAGAAAAGAAATTACTTTTAATAAGTACAGAGACTAAAATGAAGCTATAGTATACGTTGGTTCAGTATCACCCCTAAACTTTAATAAAAAGATGAAAAATCCCTCCTATTAAATCGGATGTTTTTGCCAAAGCTATTTTCTCGATTATGTCTGAACTTACATCGCAAAAACTGCAATTCAAACAAGAATCTGCATACAAAAAGTTTGTAACCAGAACGTTTACACGTATTTTCTATGGAAATTTAGCTTTGGCAACAGTTTTCGTTTTGTCTTTTTTGGCTAAAAGCAACTCCTGCTAACACTGGTAAGCAGAAAATGCAAGGAGATAACTTTGCATAGGTTTGTTGATCTTTGAAATTCAACAGACTTTAATTCGTAGCGCATGTTTTCAGCGAAATTTTTTGATTTGGCATAAATGTGAGCCCAAGAAAATATCATTAAACGAAATGCATATTTAAATGCGAGAGTAGAAAGTCAGGGAATGCAAATGAGGATTGGGAGTCGGAGTTGGAGTCTGTGATTGAATGCTCGTGGTCGCGGTGGCGGTCGTGGTCAAGCCTGGCCGCTTCCCGTCGCGTGTCCCGTTTGGAGCAAGTCGGTCCAAGTCGGACTTAGATTCAGGCACCCATTCCATGCTGATCCATTCCAATCAAGAGCTATCAAAATGCACCCTCCCCACGTCCAGCTTTTTCACACTTTGCTGGCTGCCGTCGCCTCGTCTGTTGGGTGCTTCTAATTAGCTGGATTGGATAGGATTGGATGGAGACGGAGATGGAGATGGAGATGGAGGTAGAGATGGGAATGGTGGATCCGGTGGGGTGGTCGAATAAAATCACCTGCTGGTTTCATCTTCATATTTCACTTTTCTTCTGCCATGCTTCTGCTCCCGCGTGTCTGACACAGTTTCTCCGATTCTTAATAATAATCAACTCGGTGACGGGGAGTGGGGTAGTGATGGGTTTTAAAAGAGGTAATACAAAAAAAAATAACCTGCCATCGCCAGAAGTCTCGAGACCCAGAACGACTTTTACAAGCCATTTATTGCTAATTTCCGCTTATTAGCATTGGAATAAATTAAATGGGTTGGCTAAATAGAAAGCAGTGGTCTAGAAATCTATGCAACTTGAAGTTATTTTTCAGTTTGGTAATATAGTTGAACTTTCGTTATATAGAACTTCCCTAACCCAAGGTCTCAATAAGATGGGATAGATATGTAGATAGATGGTAATAGATTGTAAAAATGCTCATAGAGTGCATTTTATAACTTCAAGACTCTATAGCTCCAATTTTGTTGGTGGTTTGATTCTTTAAAATTCGACTGTGACAGGATTACAATTATATAGAACTTCCCTAACCCAAGGTCTCAATAAGATGGGATAGATAGATAGATGGTAATAGATTGTAAAAATGCTCATAGAGTGCATTTTATAACTTCAAGACTCTATAGCTCCAATTTTGTTGGTGGTTTGATTCTTTAAAATTCGACTGTGACAGGATTACAATTATGTAGAACTATCTTAACCCAGGTCTCAATAAGATGGGAAGATAGATAGATGGTAATAGATTAAATAGATACAAATTCTCATAAAGTGCATTTTATAACTTCAAGACTCCATAGCTCCAATTCTGTTGGTGGGTTGATTCTTTGAAAATCGACTGTAATAGGACCTACCTTAAAACTTGTAGATTGTAAGCACTAGCGACTGAGAGTGCCAAATATCTGTATTCTATTTTTAAAAAATCCCGATGCACAACCGGTTAGTTTTTACTATACAATCCTTTGATATAACGAGTTTACATATTCGTGGGCGCATTATAAAAGGCAAACAGGAGTGCTGAAAGGCTTGCTAGCCACTCCAATTACCTGCTGCCTGTTAATCGAGTTCCCATTTCCGTGCCCGGGCACTCCAAGGAGCCCTGTCCTGATATCCTGTCGACCTGGTGCTGTCCGCAAACTCAATCGGGAATGTCGCTGATAATTCGATTTAAGCAAATTGCGCATGAAAGTATGCAGGGCTGCCAGTATTCCGAGGATTCCGATGCGAGGATGCGAACTCTCCCACTTTGCCAGTTTAATTAAAATCGAAAGCGCACACCCACGTAACCCGGGCACTGAAAGGCAGGCAGTGCAAACAGTGGCGGATTGTTTGCTTTTAATTGTATTAATTATTTTCATGTTGATTGCATTACAAACAGCAACATGAAGCAACAACAGGCAGCAACAACGGCCGCTGTAATGAAAAGGGCAATTGGGTCAGAGTTCACAGTTCGCGTAGGGGATGCACTCACCTACGGATTCAGATTCAGATAGAGATACAGATACAGATGAGGATGCAGATTATTAACAAATATTTGATTTATGCAGGCGACAAACCGGAATGGGCGAATGGGACCTCCGAGGTGTGTAAAGCTAAAGGGTAAACACCAACTACCCATTTGGGAATACGGAATACGGAATTCGCAGAACGCTAGGACGGCAGTTTTTTTTTTTGGGGGGGTGTGGCATAATTGCCGGACTCAAAACACGGTTCCCCACTCTACTCGCCCCATCCGGAAATTGCAAAAACTCGCCCGTGCGGACCCAAAATTAGTCGCCAGCCTAAGGCAAGGGGTTAGAGGAAGCTGGGTAACCTGGGGTGTGGATTACCTGGTAAAAACATTCAAGAGACACAAAGCGAAAAAAAACGTGCAATGTTTGCTCAGTTCCGTTGGTTTACATTAAACAAACAACCCAGTGGCGGCTGCAAGGGGGTTGAGGCCTTCTTTTTAATTGATTTTGAAACAAAAATGTGGCGGCAGTTTAAAGGACACCGGGGACAAACGAATCAGGAAAATATACTAAATTAGTTTTAAAGAAAATATTATGGCACTCAAAAACATGCTAGGAGTCAAATAGTTGCCTTACTGTTAAAAACAATAAAGACTAGATGAATTCTAAGCTTTAACTTTAGGTCGTAGAACTTTTTTTTCCATCCACAATGCTCCTTGCGTAGTCAAGTGGTCGCCACTTGGACACTTCACTCCGCCACTTGGCTCCTCGTTCACCTGACTTGATGATGCGGAGACCCATTTCCCCTTAGATTTCCCTTCTCCCCTCGTCACTTGATTATGAAAATTACGTGGCTCAATTGCAGTCACGCTTCCCAGTCTCCCATTTTCTTCTTTCATTCTACCTTACCAAATTTCGTGGTTCATTTTTAATTAACTTAAAAATTAATCAATAAAAAATAAAAGCCACATTCTCAAGGTCGTCCATTCCTCGGGGTGGAGAATCACATAACCTTATTATGACAACTGTTGTCGAAAAAGGGCAAAGAGCAGGGGGCGATGGGCGATGGGCGATGGGCTATGGGCGTGGCACTTAAATGTGTGTAGGCCCAAAAATCGATCAAATAAAAGGGGTAGACAGGGCAGAGACGGTGAAAGAGGGGGGCCCAAAGCGAAGAAGACGCGTGACAAGCTTCGATTTTGTTGATATTTTTAGACAGTCCAATGGGGCTGTCGGCTCCCGGGGGAGTGAACTTTTGGATTGCGTGACAATGGGGGCCGGGATGTATGACAGCTGGGCGATGCAGGATATAAGATGCCGGCGGCGACAGGAGACTCTTTTTGGCCAGAAACATGCTACGTGACTCTTTCCATTCGAAAAACCCCCCAAAAATACTGGACACGTTCGCTGGGACAACAAAGTAGCGCTGACAATACAATGACAGCAATTTCTGCTGCACTCGCTGCTGGGAAAGTGGCTAAGGCTAAACAAACTGCTGACAGCCATCTAAACCAGTGTACCAGTCGATCCCGAAAAAAGATTCAACATTGCCCGACTGTTTGTTTGCCTCTCTGCCACTCTGGGTCTTTTCGAGGTACAGGTGGGAAAAGAAGGGCTTTTGCCGGGTGTTTTTCGTAAGCCACTAGAATATGTCACGCTCGACTGAATGGCAAAGAAAGCGATCGAAAATAGGTTAAATACATAGTACAGGCACTGAAAGAAACCTGTTCTACATCACTGGACTTTTTATCTGCCGCTGCTCTGCCGGCACACGCACAGTATGTAGGATGATGTATGAGATTTTTACCCTAATTCATTTGTTTTATGTTAAATATTATATTAATGGGACTAAAAAATAAATCGAGACAAAGATTTTGGCGAAACAAAATCAGTTTAGGTTTTAAGATTAAGAAGATTCGAATTTTAAGATTGGAAGGTCTATCTCATTTCTTGAGGTTAACCCGCACTTTCAGCAGAGGCCAATGCGGCGTATGCGCGATAATCGATTTTGAATAGAAGAAATGTACG